CTTTTTGGACAATAAACCAATCTAGTGGGTATAGATTGTCATAATACAAAGGAATTTTCTTGTACTTCTTAGATGTGGAATGCTATATGGACTTATCTACTGCAAAATATATAAGCATAAATGTGTATATACACACACAAATACATATATATATATACACACACACACACACACATACATATATAAAAGTTTCTTACTAGATTGTGGTACTAACTTGCTTAGGCTTCATTAGTTACTTTATCATTAGTTATTTTTGATAATATGTAAAACACACACCCTATTTTTTAATCTTTTATTTTCTCTTAATGATATCATTTTCAAACCCAATTTTTGAGGCTGTATGTACTCTTGCTTTCAGTCTTTAACACTCTTAAAAGCTATTTCATTGTGTCATATAAATTTTATTGTACTTTTAATATCTCAAAAATGAACTCGGTACTACGGATTTGTTTGATTATTTCTCTTATATGAGTTTTTAAATATTTATTCATGATCATTTTTATCCAGTATTTGTTCCTTTGAGATTAAATGTTTTAAATCACCATCTGGAGAAAACTCAGTATGTTGGAGATAATCAACTCTAAGTGAATAGCTTCTTTTCTCTATAATATTCAATTTTGCAGAATTCTCACACATTGGAGAGCTATAGAAAGAGCATGGATTATTTTTCACTGAAACATTACTGAGAGTTCAATTCTTTCTTTAAGAAACCTCTAGGGGGATGTAATACTATTTACTTTGTTTTAATGTTTAACATTAAAGTGAGGTGGCTAAAGAGATAGGCATTTTATATCTTTCCCAAGATGACAAATTGCTAACAAACATGGATCCCATTCGAATAGTGCTGTAAAAAAGGAAATATTCACATAGTTTTACTAGATTTTGAAATGCTTCAATTCCCTAAATAACAATGCTGTTGTTAATGGAAGCTTTGCTTCAGGATAATTATCTACTTCTCTGCAATGAACATTATCATGTAGATATTGTACAACATTTTTATTGTCTTAAAAGTTGTCCTTTTAAAAATGTAATGCCATTTATGTCATATCATTCATAACTTCAAGGTCTCTTTGATATTTTTTTTATCATGGAATCGATTTTCAAAGCAACACAGGACAGACAAGCTGGCGATGCCTTTGTTGAGTCTTCCATTCTTGCTGCTGTGCAGAGGGTTGACAGTGCAATTAACTCCACACGAAGACATTTGTTTTCACAGTAAGAATTTATTTTATATAGATTGCAAAATTGTTTTCATGTCTGTTCGTAGTTTGTATAATCTCCATAAATCACAACAGGGACAGTGCCTAAGATTGCCAGAGTGTCTTCTTTTGTCCTTGTGTGTGCCACCCTCTGGGCTAGCCATCATTGTCAGTTCAGCCTCGAAGAGGAGGAATCTTGTTCCACATAGAACCTAACTGGCATTAATTTATGCCACAGATCTACTCTTGACAGTATGACAACAGACACCAGGCAATGGGCTCTGCTAGGTCAGCAACCCCTGCAAACGGCACCAGACTCAGCACTCTTGCAACCTGTGAATTGAGAGTGACTGACTGTCAAGTTGAACACACCTGGTTACAAAATGCTAGCCCACAGATAAAAAAATTTTTTTTGTCCTTTTTGTGACCGGTAAGGGGATCGCAACCCTTGGCTTGGTGTCGCCCGCACCGCGCTCAGCCAGTGAGCGCACCGGCCATCCCTATATAGGATCCAAACCCACGGCGGGAGCACTGCTGCACTCCCAGCGCTGCACTCTCCCGAATGCGCCACAGGGTCGGCCCTAAAAATTTTGTTCATGATATACAGCATTTTGCTTTAATTTGAATCAAAACGTTAGACTAGTCAAACCTTCCAATCCCACAAATTGCTTTGTGTTTGGAGCAGCAAAATGTATAAAGAAGATTGTTGTTTTCATAGTCAAACAAAGTACATACCCAGTATTTGCAATCATTGATCAAAAAGTGACATCTTAAAATGCCATAATCAAGTGTTGGTCAGCTTCCTGAACATCCACAAAGAATATGACTTGGTGATTGTGGATTCATGGTCTAGAGCCACACAGCCGATTTAAATCCTTATTGGGGTTTCTTGCTTCATCACTTTCTGTCTTGGTGACCTTGGGCAGGGGACTTAAAGTCTTTGTACCTCAGGCTTCTTGCCTATAAAATTGGGATAACCATAGGATCTGATTCATGAATGCACTTTCTAGAAGGATAGAATATGATAATACAGAAAAAGTGTTTCAACAGTGCCTGGTGGATAGAAAGTGCTTCACTCAAGTGAACTATTTGTATTATTCTATTGTCTAAAGTTATTATGATTCAGGACATAGAGGATGAGATGTGTGCCTCAGTTGACCAATCCCTCTAAAATAGTTTGTTGCACATTCACAGTGACTTTAATTTTTTTTTAACTTGTTTCGTTTAGCTCCACAAATGTGCATAAACCACTCTTGTGTGCTGGTTAGTGCGCTTGGTACTCGGGATACTAAGATGAACAGGGCATCATCTCTTCTCTAACCTAGGTCTTTCTTTAGTAGAGGAGACGATATGTCAGCAATTTAAGTACATCTTGCTGCGTGCATAAGCGATGTCTGTATTAATGTTCCATTACAGAAGTAACAGAGAAGATGGAGTGATGACTTGTCAGAGCTATCAGGGAGACTGTGCAGAGTGATGGCTGAACAGGATTCTAAAAGCTAGGGGAAATTTCCAGGCAGTGACTTTCAGGGAAAGAGAAGACAGAAAGTTCCAAGGCCTGCAAACAGAGAGCTTGGCACACTATTTCAGAGGGTTTTCTGAGCCCTCTAGAACTCATGTAAGGACCCCCCCACCCCGAGTTTATAGGTCCTACCATAAATGTTGCTTTTTATAGAAAACTATGTTTAATTTGTAAATTCATTAAAAAAATTTTGTCGAGTTCAGCACTGTGAGTGACATTTGGGATTCAGTTGTTAACAAAATAGAACCCACAGCTCCCCTGCAGAGCTTGTGCTCCAGTGGTTGAGTTTTCATTCTTTTCGAACATTGGGAAATGTCTTCTTAAAGGCACAGCATATGTAAACTTTATGTATTCTGCAGTTTTGCCTTGCAAAGAGTCGTGTCTTTGTCATTTGCAGAAAACCTCGCACCCCCAGTGATCTGCTGACTCAGTTCCGTTTCCCGAGTGACCCGTTCACTGTGCAGACAGCAAGAGCAGGGGAGATTTTTGAGCACACGCTGCAGCTGATCCGGGAACGTGTGAAGCAGGGCCTGACTGTCGATGTGGAAGGCAGAGGTCAGCCTGTGGGCCGTTATGTTGTAAGCCTCATGTCCGCAGCCCAGCTGACCACTGCCTCAGCAACGAATACTGAACTTTTCATCTCCAGATGTCATGTGATTTAGAAGTTAATTTACTTACTACTTTTACCAAACAAATACAGATGTTTCTCAATGAGCTGTAATTCAAACGTAAGGATGCTAAATATACATTCAAACTCGCCTCAACTTTTGCCAGTTATATACATCGAACAAATCTAGGGGACCCATTTTATGTGAACTTGCTTTTCAAATCCAAAACATATTACTACTGCTTAGGGAGAAATGCTTTATTCCCAGGAAATGTTCTTCTACTACTGTAACCACCCAAATCATTCAGTGAATTTACTCGAAATTCCTTCCAACATCTATAACATTTATATCCCTCCCTACTCTTTTTTTTTTTGTTGCTACATTCAAGTTCTCGTTATTTCTTTCCCAAACCAGAATCCACTTAGTAAATGTCAAATGAGATGATATAGAAAGCTTTCAGATTTTCTGAGTCTTTCTCTTCAAAATAAAATAGGTGAACATGACCCTTTGCTGCAAGTGTGACACAATTCCCATAGGCCCACCCTTTCTTTAGTCTCCTTCAGAAAATAAACTGGCATGTGGGGCAGGAGTCTATGCCCTTAGGTGCTCTGTACAAGTACTACCAAGTGACTACATGTGACTGTCCCTAGTGGTTCGTTTTGTCGTGGGTTTTCAGAGCTTCCCTAACAAAATGTCCAGTGAAGTCTCCATATTAGCACATACGATCACTCTATTTAAATGTCAGCTCCTTCACTTTGAATCAGGCCAGGTGTGAGTTAGCCGTGGTCCAGTCTGCAAAAAGGCCAGCTCTTCTTCCTTCCTCAGCTGCAGGTAAAGCCAGGCCTGCAGGTCTTTCTGGCAGTCTTTGAGTTCCCTACTCACACATTTCTATTAGATGAAGAAATATTTTTAAAGAATAACTTAGTCTAGGTTCATAATTATAAAATGAGAAGCAATAATAACTACAGAGATTTAGTTTTGCTTCAGTATGCATCCAGTGCTGATCATCAAACTGGATAGATCTTCTCATTTCAAGTATTCAAGAATTTTAACAATTTTTCCCAAGAAAAAAACATGATGCTGTTTTACCTGTTTCATTATTTATAAAGTTAAGGCTTTTCTCCTGCCAGGAGCAGCTTGCCTAGAAGTTAACTCAGTATCCACATCTCAATATACAGGAAGATTCTTGCATCTGCCCAAGATCGAGGTAGCCAAGGTTCCAGCCAGGGAAAGGCTAACAGATAAAGTGTTGGTCTTGGTATCGTTAGCCAGTTTCTGATGATTAATTAGGGATAGTGACTCTTAGTTAAGTATGGCAGTGAGTTGTCTTTGCAGTACTGGGAGAACGCTGCGATTGTATGCCCTGTTAGAAGGTGTGGCTCCAGGTCACTTCCTGTGTTGTGTTGTGCATTCTTCAGGAGTGACAGCTTGTAGTAATTTGGAAGGTTATTGCTTAATCCCTCCTTGTCAAGTATGATGTGGGTTAATATTCACAAGATCCATATCTTAGACCTTGTCCTCTAAGAGCACCAAACTGGAAAGAAAGAAATCTCAAAGGGAAACAAAGTTGACAAAACCATACTTTGATGAGGTTGAACAAATCCCAACCAACATTGTATTTGTGAAGTCAGGAATTGTGCAGGAGCCGACACGTTTCTCCTGACGTTTTGTTCGTTCTAGCAGTCAGCCCCTGATCACGAGACAGCCTCTTCCCTCAGTAACCGCGCTATCTTTTGGATACAGCTAGTGTTATGTGACTACTGCCCCTTCTTTTGTGTAAGAACGTTTCCTTGTATCCCAATGGGCATCTGCACAGGCCGGGGGCGGGTCCCCACAGCACCTGGAGTGCCGGGGTCTCCGCTTTCCCTCCAGGACCGCTCTCCTCATTGCTGTCCCTGCTCTGCCTTGCAGAATTCCGCTACAATGACTTGGTGTCCCCGCGCTACCTCCGCCTCATCGCCAATTTATCTGGATGCACAGCCCACAGGCCTCCTCCAAACTGCTCGGACCTGTGTTTCCACGGGAAGTACCGCGCCCCCGACGGCTCGTGCAACAACCTGCAGCACCCG